TCAAACAAAATTAAACTCAACTGACTTCTAAGATCCTGTATATATATATATATATATATATATATATAAAATGATCATAAAATCATTCACATTTTAAAAATATTTTCAAGTTTTAGACTTTTTCTCCTTTAGCAAATCTTCAACAGGAATATACATTTTCCAAGACTGTTATCATTTAACTACTTTGAAATATACATCATTCCTATTTGAATCATATGTATACCATATTTTATTAGAGCTCCTGAACATTTACTAGCCGCTGTAAATTTATTAGCTTTGTTATATTAAGTGATAAATATCTTAATTCATAATATAAATTCTAATTTTTTAAGGTTGAAAGATTTAAAGACCAAGAGATTGCCATGTCAATTGTAAGACAGAGCTAAAAGTTTAAAGAACACAGTTTTAATCTATTTCTTACAGGATAAAGACCAAATTAAAATGCAGGATATTCACAGCGTCCATTTCTGAAAACTGTTTACCTCTTCCAATTTCAACTACTTCCTGGCCCCAAAGAAGCACGGCATATAAAACCTGTAAATGATTTTTCAAAAGGCAATATATAAATGTGATTTTTGCTTTATAAAATTAAAGGCTACTGAATTTTTGCAGCTATTTTAACGTTATCCATTATAACCTAAATATTGTATGCACATAGCTGGAAGATTATATGCTCAGAATAAAAAGCACCAGTCTCCTTCTTCAGTTCTGCTCCCCAGATTTAACCACATTTAACAGTTTAATTTTAGGGCTATTGGTGATTGTGTCTATGTTTCTAATAACATGCCTTTTTATTCAATTATTTTGGTTTATAGTTTTAGACATTGTTTATTGGCTTCCTGTTCTGCAAGATGAGGATTTCGATAACTTTGCCAACTCCACTTTCTTTCATGTTTCCTCCCAATATGATTTCATGACCATTCACAGTTCGACCCTGTAAAATTTGTAATTTCAAGTCTTAAATTTAAATATTCATTATTTTTCAACAATAGGAAAATCTCTTACCACCATATTTTTAAAATATGAAGACAATTACACCCCCATCGCTTTTTTCCATTTCCTCTCCCAGTGTTTAATTTCCTAACAACGTGGACTTTACCTATTCTCCATGTTGTCATGGTTGGAAACATTTTGTCTTTTCTATAATCACAGAGCAGATGAGCTGTCTGACAAGCCTTATGTAATTAGTTTATGGGCTGATTCTACAAGTTAGACATGAGTGTTTACATTATTATAGCAATGTTAATATTGTTCTTTGGGAGCTAAGTGGTGGACTTAAACGCATTTCCTTCCTCTTTAAGTCCAAGGTCATATTTGTTCCATTCAAAGGAGACTATTAAAATTCAGGGAATTATTTTGTATACATCAATAATTGCCTTTGCCATACCAAGTTTTTCTAGAGGATCCCATATAGTCTATCTATGTGTCAATTCCACTTATTTCTGAGACCTCCCTCTGGGAACCGTGCGTCCATTCTGGGCTGATTTTCTCAAGACCAACTGCAGAGTTGTCATTCTGGGACAGGAAACCACTATTTTCCTGTCTTGTGTCTTCCCCTGTCTAGAGGTGCTCACTGCAATATATCCTCAAGTAACTTCTGAAGAAAGTGTTCATTGTAGGTAAATTTTTGGGAAGTTCACATGTCAAAAAATATCTTTATTCTGTTTTTCTCTGATTTTCTTCCTAAGTGTAAAGGCCTTCATCATTTTCCTCTCACATCCAGTATTGGGGATGAGAAGCCCAATTCTGGGCTAATTCTATCTGTTTGCAACAAGCTCATATTCTTTCTCTAAAAATTTCCATTTCAGTTTATTATTCATCTTCTAACATTTCAGAGTAGTTTTTTTTTAAGTAGATCTTTTTTTCAGTAATTATTATGTGTTCTTTTAATCTGCATATTTAGGTTTTGTTACTGGGGAGATTTTCTGTATAATTTCTTTGATAATGTTCTCCCCTCGTTCTCTCTCTCCTCTCATCCTAGAAACCTTTCTCTCCAGATGTTAGAGCTTCTGGATACAACCTAGATGCCTCCATATTTTTTCTTATTTTCATTTTTATCTTTTTTTTGCTTTATTTTTGGGGATAACTCTTTTTATGTTCCAATCTATTTTTTAATATAATTGTTGTTTTCTAACTCTAATGGTTCTTTTGCGTTTTCCTTTCACAGTGTACAGCATATATTATACAAATCTCGTAGAAGGTACTAGCATCTTGTCTATTCTCTGAGTTACTTCTTATTCTACAAATAATCCAGTGTATTTGTGATCTGAGAGCTTATATATTCCAAATAGGCTTAATCGGTTTCATCGTTGGTTTTTCTTTGCCTTCTGGAGTCCTGCATCTACGGATAAAGATGGAATAAATTGCTTTTAAGGCATGGTGTACCTGTTTCCAGAGTCCTGTCTCACTCCTAGCATTGTTTCTCCTTATGTTTCCGAGTCCTCTCTTTCTCCACTTCAAGGCAGATCATCTCCCTCCTCAGGTCTCACTTGCTCTGTGTAGACACAGATGCATCTTACTCCATCTTCATCTTTAATGACCACTCTTTATCAACCCTGCTTTCTGGAAATTGGTTAAAACTTCTCCACCAATGGCTCTTGTACCTTTGCTTTGCTTTTTTGCTTTTGTTTTTTTCCCTCATGATTTACACCTGTACTGTTACTTTAATGAGATCATAGAAAAATGAAAGACGATAAAATCATGTATCAGTCTATCATCTTGAGTCAGAATTACTTTCCCATGCTTAGAAAAATATATCACATGTTTTATGATGCTTTTTAGGGGAAAGAAATGCCCTTTTATTTGTTATGCTCTACTTACACTTCAAATTGTTATGCTCATATCACCTGTTGATTAAAAAATATTTATATAGTACATTATTAAAAATAATATTACTTTCACTTATTCTGCATTCAGAGAATATACTCGACTAGATCCATTCAGAATATGATTAACATTTTCTATTTCAAATTGATACTAATTTACTCATATATTATTTATGTGTTTATAGCAATTAGAGCTTACATATTCCAAATAGGCTTAATGCAAGGTCTTGCTATCCAATACAGATAATGCCATAAAGTCTTTTTCAGATTTGAGGAAATCGTAAAGTAACTCACTTGGTGGCTATAACAATGCCATCACATTTGATTTCTTTTACAAAAGGGGAAAAATATATTCAATTCAGGTTTTATGAAATGCTAGAGGTTACTAAATTTGTAGTTATCACCAAACTAACAGTGCAAGATATAATGTTACCATTCATCATCTTCCTAATTGAAAAGCTTAGTATTCTGTCTATTATAAATTATTCTTATAAGAAGCATATATAGAGAAATGGAGCCAAAATAAGCTCCAGGTTAGAATTAGTTTGTCTTTGTCTTGCTTTGGGTATGTGTTCTTTTCCTTCCAAACAAACAAGAGCCAACAGGAATTAATAGAAATTGATAAATGGCAGAGGAGGAAAGAAGATATGTAGAGCAAATAGGACCCAAAAAAATTTTAAGAAAACAAAGAAACAGAAGAAGATAACATGGTATAAATGCACAAGAAAGAAGATTTTTGTTTAGACCAAAGCGCAACATTTATAAGCAGCCATATTGCCTTTTGCAATGTGTATAATAAATCACTTTTAAATTTTGCTGTTTAAAAATCTCATAAAACTATATATTAGGTGCCATGCTTAACTACCTGTGTGCAGTATACCCATGTAACAAACCTGCACATGTACCTCTCCATCTAAAATAAAACTTGAATTTAAGATGAAAAGAAAGATAAGCACCCAGACTAATATCAACCAGATAAAGGGACAAACACAATATTTTACAATATAGTTAAAACTTTATGGCAATCTTCCTTAAAAGCTCACAATAATGTCTAGCTTTCTGTTTGCTTTTGCTTTTGGCATTTATGAAGTCCAAGTTATTTCTAAGATCTTGTTTGCAGGTGGGCTGATAAAAATACTACAACTTTTGTCATGAACGTCATTAATTTTTCGTCATGTATTACATCTCTTCATCTTTCATCTGCATGTGACTTTGGGGTCTCAGGGTCTGAGTTTTTGGGATTTTCTTCTTTGTGTGTTCATATCTGCCCTATCAGACCTGTTATCTATATAGGGCATTTACCTTTCAAAACTCTACCTCTTTCTGATAGACTGTGACTGATTTTTTTATTTTTATTTATTTATTTGTTTATTTGTTGAGACAGAGTCTTGCTCTGCTGCCCAGGCTGGAGTGCAATGGTGCAATCTCAGCTCCCTGCAAACTCCACCCCCTAGGTTCGAGCGATTTTCCTGCCTCAGTTTCCCAAGTAGCTGTAACTATAGGCTCATGCCACCACACCCAGCTAATTTTTGAATTTTTAGTAGAGACAAGGTTCCACCATGTTGGCCAGAATGGTTTTGATCTCTTAACCTCATGATCCACCCACCTTATCCTCCCAAAGTGCTGGAATTACAGGTGTGAGCCACTGTGACCGGCAGAATTTTTTATTGATAGCCTATGAAGATATCTTTCTTGGAGGCTGCTTCTTTGCCAATACAGATCGAAATCAGTTGGAACTGTTTTTTCTGGCTTGTATAAGTTATCCATAGTCACAAAGCATGGGGGCAGGGAAGGACAGGAGTTTCTGGCCATCAGGTAAACTGGTCTATGGGCAATTCGCGTCATTTGCCTAACTTTTTACTTAAGAGAAGCAGCCCTGAATTGGTATAATAATAATGTTGTTCCTCATTTATTTCTTTTCAGAGTGTACAAATCATTTCCCACTTTAAAAATTTATGTTCAAAATTTGGAGCATAAAAAGCAACTCCTGATGGTTCAAAGTTTGGTTAAAGGGCCTAGGACTTTGAACTATGAATAATCATTCATTCAGAAATGTTATGTTAATCCCATGGATTGACTTAATTTTATGATCCCCTTCTTTGCTCTTAGTGTGAGCATGTGTATTAGAATCATTGCCTATGTTCACTTAATATGTTTGTGTTTCTCTAATTTTAGCATGTGGCAAACTGATGAAAATCACAGGCCCAATTACGGTCAAGACTTCTGGAACCCGATTTGGTGCTTGGATGACAGATCCTTTAGCATCTGAAAAAAACAACAGAGTATGTTTCTCCCACAAACACCTTTGCTTAGAATTAAGTTCTGTTTACACTTTGTCTCTTCTGGACTATTCATTTTCTTCAGGGGTATTTGTTTGTACTTGAAAACTGTTACATAATTTGCAAATATTTTCTGTTTTATAATATTAACATATTTAAGGAAGCATGGCAAATCTATCTCAGTAAAATGTTCCATCCTCCAATTCATCAGTTTAGTGAATCTATTTTTTATTGATGTTAGTCATGTTTTATGCTTGAAAGGGCTAATTACAATCATACAAATTTCCCTCTATACTCTTTCTAAAATATGTTCTTTAGTATGAAAAAACAATAGCACTGAATAAGTGAAAAACTCAAGGGCAAAACAAATTCGCTAAATAAGCTTAAATATCCCTGGAGTCTAGAGGTAATATTAAAAGATATAGCACTGAAACTTTTGGGGGTATTTTCATAAGTTGGCAATGCCTGTATTATGTAAATCAATATGCTAAAAACTTGAGATAGTTCTATTTATGTCCTATTGCAGAACTCAGTATAAATTAAGATTCTCAAGGGTTCCATCCATATGAGGTTAGTTATTAAGTTAGTAAAATGGTTTCATCAAAATGTAGTTGTACTTACAAGCTAGCCCAATAAACAAGTGTTTCTAGAAGATTCTATGGTACTTATTTCAATTGAATATGCAAAATTAGACTATACCCTTTTCTCAGAGCAAGAGATAGAATAAATGTAATTTGCCAAGGTTATATTTGTTGTAGTTTTCACTGATTGCATTGATTTATCAGGCGTTGTAATTTGCATTGACATATGTTTGATTCACTCAGTGATATGCACCAAATGGTCAGGAATTTAAAAAACAGAGCAGGAAAAAGCAAAAGGCAAACTAAGGCCAAGACAGTGAATTCAGTTATTTCTTTTCCACATCAATAGACCATAGCAATATTTTTATAAAACCTGAAATACTCACATTGCAGCAGGTCAGCAATAAGGTAATGTGGCTTCCAGAGCCTGAGAATTATAATATTAATATGTGCTTACTCTCACTGTCTTTCTTTTGGAATTATCAGAAAAGTACAGAATTTAGTCACTCCATTTATTTTTTTCCTTCTTCTCAGGTCTGGTACATGGACAGTTATACTAACAATAAAATTGTTCGTGAATACAAATCAATTGCAGACTTTGTCAGTGGGGCTGAATCAAGGACATACAACCTTCCTTTCAAGTGGGCAGGAACTAACCATGTTGTCTACAATGGCTCACTCTATTTTAACAAGTATCAGAGTAATATCATCATCAAATACAGCTTTGATATGGGGAGAGTGCTTGCCCAACGAAGCCTGGAGTATGCTGGTTTCCATAATGTTTACCCCTACACCTGGGGTGGATTCTCTGACATCGACCTAATGGCTGATGAAATCGGGCTGTGGGCTGTGTATGCAACTAACCAGAATGCAGGCAATATTGTCATCAGCCAACTTAACCAAGATACCTTGGAGGTGATGAAGAGCTGGAGCACTGGCTACCCCAAGAGAAGTGCAGGGGAATCTTTCATGATCTGTGGGACACTGTATGTCACCAACTCCCACTTAACTGGAGCCAAGGTGTATTATTCCTATTCTACCAAAACCTCCACATATGAGTACACAGACATTCCCTTCCATAACCAATACTTCCACATATCCATGCTTGACTACAATGCAAGAGATCGAGCTCTTTATGCCTGGAACAATGGCCACCAGGTCCTGTTCAATGTCACCCTTTTCCATATCATCAAGACAGAGGATGACACATAGGCAAATGTTTTCATTGATCTAAACAGTGTAATTTGTGATAAACTCTATAGGACCACTTCTGTTTTTTTTTTTCTTTCTTATTATTTTTCATCATTTCTCCAAAGCAAAGCATTTTTTATTGTAAAGTTGGTGTTTCAAAAAATAGCTGAGCTTGTCTAACTTACCATGTTGGAAACACATCTTAACTTCTAAATTTGCAAGGCCTATCATGTCCTTGTCATATAAAGCACTAAAAAAAGAGTTTAAGTGACTAAAGTCATAGTTTTGCAAGAGATTAATGATCTGCCTTATATTAGAGTCAGAGACTAATGGCGGCTTAAATGCATGAATGTCTTTTTTTTTAACTGTCATTTTTTTCTGTCTTTTGCTCCACATCAGGAAATATTTTGGTAGGAATTAGAAGAACAAAAAGCACTTTTACGCCATATATTTCTTTAAAAAAAGTAAGGATTTCATTTATATTGAAAAATAACATTAATCATTTTGCTGTTAACACAATTCTCTGATGCGGTGCTGTACAGTCATTTTTAAATCTCTTGCTAACAATTTATTGGCAGTATGTATTTCTACCATTGTAACCACCATTGTGCTATTGTATCTCTTCACTTCTGTGAAAGTAATATTTTTTATAAAATACATTGAAATTTAATCTCAGTAAATGAGTCCATTTTCAAGTGTGGTCAAGAAGAATTTTCTTGGCTTACCCCTTTACATAAGCATTATGACCTAAAATGAAAACCAAACCAGATACCTTACATAGTGTCTTTATTTTACTCCAAGTTTATTGGGCCACTGACATTGAAGGCAAAACCTAATTTCGTACACCTGAGTTACTCTGTTTACTCCACTGAATGCAACACATACAGTTTCTTGAACAAGATACAGCTGGATTCTAAATATGGATTTGAGTTGACTCTACTCATTTATTATATGCACTAAACAAATTTTGTTCTTCATAGTTAAATGTACAAGAATTTAATTTATATTTTACATACAACTTGCAATAATGAAATTCCTTATATTAGAACCCTGAAAAGCACATAAGCACATTTGAAAACTCTAAGAAAATAAAATTTCTGTAATGTCTTCTAGATTTACATTATGAGCCCTCAGGAGTTATTGGCAAGATTTGTGCAAAAGAAAATGATGGGGAGATCTGGGAGTTGTCTTTGTGATTTCAAAAGTGTAAATAATCAATTCAGAAAACAAAATGGAAAAGCAACCCTTTGCTACCTTGATTCACTGTATGAAAAAAAATAGTGTAACCCAAAGAGAGGAGCTTTACTAATACTTATGTTAATAACTATAGACGTATATGGAAACTAACATGGAAACGAACAATCTAAAAAGTATATTCTATAATAAATAACAAATCATTTTAAATGATTAGTTTCACACATACATACTACCACCATTTTCTTTGAAAGATAAGGATGTAATAATTTAGATAAAGCATCATGTAAAGAAATCCTAATATTTAAATGTAATTTATTTCAAATGTTACAAGTAAAGCATCATCCTCAAATATCTCACTGTCGAAATTGTAGAATTAAATAACCCCATTTTGAAACTGTCAAGGTTTAACAAAGGTTACTTTTTCTGCCTACAAAAATTTAGCATGATTTAATGACTATTCTGGGTCTTTTTGCAATATTTTATTTATTTTTTTTTACAAGTTTACATAAGCTCTAGTTTACTATTGGGAGTTGGAAAATTTAGGACATTCACTTGTCATTGTACACACACAACAAAAATATTCAGTCTATGTTCCATATATTGAGCTTGTATGAGGAAAAAAAGTTACTTTAGTTTTCAAAATGAATGAATTTTTGAGTAGACAGCCTCCAACAGATATCTGGATCTTCATTATTTGTTTTTTTATAATGATGTTATATGGCACCACTAACATTCAAAATTTGGGTGATCGCAGCCTATTCATGAAGCATAAAGACTGCAGAGCACTTTGTTGTTTTCTAAGTGAGATTTTATCACCATTTCCACTTTATAGTGTATGTGCTTCTAGAGCAAGCACAGATTTTATTATTGTCACTAGAAGTGGGGTAACATGAGTTTAAAAATGTGATAATCATTGAACATTTCCAGAGTAAAAGCATTTCTCATAATAAATTATTATTAGTTTTGTGCCTGAAATAAATAAGAACTTACTTTATTCAGTGTTTTTTAAATCTCCAACAAATAAATCTTCTGAGGGAAATAATAAGTATTTTTAAATCACGCACATAATCAAAGCATTGGAGAAATCCAAGCTCAGAAAGTCTTAATCCTAACTGAATGACGTAACTGGTATCTTCTGAATTAACCAGATCATTAACAAGCTTTCATATCACTCAAATAATAATATGTTACTGGTCTGATTGTGTTTGTGTGTTATTTGTGGCGCATGAATCACAATGCTTATTACTTGCACCTGAACTTATATCTACAACTTCAGAAAATGGTAGTATTTCACTATGTTTCCAATATGTAGAGATAAAGGAAAACATAACAGCAGATGTGTTATATAAATAGAATTATGATTAGTTAAGGTTCATCACAAACGCAGAATCTCTGATTCCTGTCTCCATAAACATGGAGTCATTTCACCTTTGTAGTCATAATATTCTCTCTGATGAAATCTTATCTTCAGAAAATAATGCTAATTTCTTATTGTTTCTTATTCTTAGTAAGAAACAAGTTTTTGTATCTTAAAATCATTACCAAATTTAGATGTATAATTTTTGCAACCAGCAAAATTATTTTTAAAATGTAACTATATATAAAATTATGCTTATGTTCCTTTCAAACTAAAACCAATTATTTCCCTATTAAGGTAAGTTTTACATGTAATAGTCCTATGTTATTCTCCTTAAAGAATAATTTACAAAAAAAAAATTTAAAAACTTATCTGATCACTTCAGCCATTGCAAAGTATATAAAAGCCTAGCTTTATAGAAATACAATACTTTGGAAAACAGAATAAAAAATGTCATCTTGTTGACTTGATAGAGTAGTTATATTTTTTATTGTACTCTGTGTCATAAAGTTCCCATGACATGATCAAAGGATGGATATTCATTTGAAGACACAGCAAGAAGGAATCATCTGTGAAGCTGAAAAGGACCCTTGGCAGACACAGAAATTACTGGCACCTTGAGCTGGTACTTCTTAGCCTCTAGAACTGCAAAATACATTTCTGTTGTTTATAAGCTAAAAAAAAAAAAAAAATAGACATACAGAGACAAAGTGTACTTTGCTTTCTCCATCATCAGATGATAAGTAGAATGTTCTGAGCTACTACGAAATAGTCTACCTAGTGTTCTAGGCAGGAAGCATGAAATATATGTGGATGCTACGATATGAAACAAACCCTTCACTGATTAATGCTTATAACGTTAAACGGTTATTTATAAAAAGACCAGGAGTCATAAATGTCATTCAGTTCAGCAAGGAATATGCATACTGAAATCAGGATTATAGAATCATTTCTCATTCTAAAAGTTAACTAAACTTAGCATAAAACTATTAGCTAACAATTTGCCATCATTAGTGGCTTCAGACAAAGTCTGGGACTTAATAAAATCTGTTCTTTTGAATTGTTGGATTTATACTAGAAAATAAAATAATGACAGCATTAACTTATGGAAGAAAAACAACATCATGAACATTTCTTTCCTTATCTTTCTAAGAAATGATGACTGTGAATCTTGAAAATCTCTTGAATAAAGAATAGAAAGCTATTTGCTCTACTATTTAGCCAATCAGGAAAAAATGCTTCCCCCATCTGATTTTACCAAGCTGACTTACATCTTAAAATTATGTCATGCAGTTTTTCTCTTTGGGTTGATCTATTCCAACAGGTTTAGCGGAATTTTAATCCTGTTTGGAGTCTGCCTTGTCTCCAAAATGTCAGACTGGTTGGCATAAAAATTACTTCCTTTGAAGCTCAGTTTACCAAGTGCCAAACAGGTTTTACAGCTATAAATTATTATCAAACATGACTTAAAAGTGACATATAAGAAAGGCATAGAGTTGTACCTTGCTAAGAGAATATAATAACTTTTATATTTTATATCTATGACAATACTAAAATATAATGTAAACATATGTATTCCTAAAGATATGAAGTGATATGGTGAACATGGAAAAGTCCTCAAGAATATTTCAGCCGGGCGTGGTGGCTCATGCCTCTAATCCCAGCACTTTGGGAGGCTGAGGTGGGCAGATCACGAGGTGAAGAGGTCGAGACCATCCTGGCCAACATGGCGAAACCCTGTCTCTACTAAAAAATACAAAAATTAGCTGGGCATGGTGGCATGTGCCTGTATTCCCAGCTACTCGGGAGGCTGAGGCAGGGGAATTGCTTGAACCCAGAAGGCAGAGGTTGCAATGAGCCGAGATTGTGCCACTGCACTCCAGCCTGGCACCTGGCAACAGAACAAGACTCTATCTCAAAAATATATATATATATATATTTCAGTGCCCTGAAAAGTTTGCTGTTAAACCACACATATATATGCAGTTCAGTTTCATGTTTCATCCCTATCAAAGTTATATTATGCCTGAAAGAGCTTGCAGCTGTTTTTTATAAATGATGAAAATAGTGCCCTAAGATATATTCCCTATCACAATTCAGACTTGGAAACATTGCATATAAACGGGCCTTTTAAGAAAATTAATATTTTGTGACAAAAAAAAATTTAAATGGGGCAAGAAATGAGTCGGATAAAAGAAACACAGACCGTTTAAGTATGTTGTGGAAGTTTATCATGCTGCAGTAATGCATTTCCAGCCAGCTGTTTGCCATTATCATTCTTGACTTAACATGAATTCATATATATTGCCAGTGGGTAGTTAGCCAGCTTTACAACCAGATACTACTGTATTATGTATTCCCAGACAACATTCCAAATGGTAGGGATATAGCTGTCAACAGACAAATAAGGTGTTCATGTGCTTATATTCTAATGGGAACAGGCTGCAACAAAAAGAAAATCAATAAAAAATAAGTTCTAGTTTTATTGATTGCTGTGAAAAAATAAAAAAAATCTATATGATAAAGAATGACTGGGTGTTGCTAGGGGTACAGTGAGATAAGAGACAATGTATAGAGGTAATGTCAAGGGAGATCTTTAGAAGAAGCCTGCCACGGTAAATTCATTCAAGGAATGAAACGTCATCACCTGTTCCATGTAAAATAATTTGTCCTCTTTATTTCTGTTCTTAGAAATCCATGGACCAAATATTCCTAATATTTGTCAGTTACAGAAGTTTTTTTTAACTTGAAGTCCAAAAATGCCCTTTAGGAAATAGCTGAACCTCCTAAAAATATATGCTAAATTTAATGTATATATTTGGTTGTACATTCTTTCTGGTAGAGGATTTCCAGTTTTCATCAAATTTCCAAAGAAATCCATATCCCAGAATACCACAACTATGTCAATTTAATGTAATTTAATCTCAAATTTATTAAATATCCTCATGGCAAGCACTGAATGGCTGTCAGCTTTCTTGCAATCCTCAAGAATTTCAGCTTGATTCAGAAAGAAATCAACATCCCAGTATCAGTAATTTTTGGTGTTTTGTTTTCATAAGAACTCAAGACAAAATTGCTCCCTGTAAAACCGCTGAGGAGATTATATATATATATATATATATATATATATATATATATATATATATATATGACTGAATCCAGTTATTTTTCTGTGCTATAGCCTTTCAGGCACGTTCTTGTTAGATTCGGTGACGCAAGAATCTCTATTATGAGGCCTGTCCTACATCTATTTGAGCCTGGAGAACATTGTCTTATAATGCTAATGCAGCCTTTTGGCAGGGCCATTAGACTCAATGGAATTGAGCAGATGCAGTGTGCTCCATCAAATTTAACTGCACACTCCTCTTCTGAAATTAGCTACTGCAGCAACATATAAACAGCAAAGAGAAAGCTTTTAACACTTGACATGGTTTAGAAACTATGGTAGTTGATGCGCACATAATCTACAGCTTCAGAATTTTTAAAAATGTTCTTATTAAACAAAAAAACTAGTCACACCTATAAAGTCATGCTGATTACAGAATTGAGGCTGTTTCCATCAGTGATGTTTACTTGGACTTTTTCTCACAAAGGACTTGAGAAGACTTACCTGTTAGCTTCTATTTCAATGTGAACAAAAATAATAAAAATAAGTATTTTCATTCTTTCTCTAGTATCATTATTAAACTTCATTGGAAACTACTCTTGGAATATGAAATATGCATAGAAAAAGAAGTTGAACGGTTTCTTACATTATCAGATTTTCATGAAAAGATAAAATCTAACTATGTAAATCAAGGCCTGTTCCAAGTATTTTGTTCTCAGCAAGTATTTTCCAATGTTTTCTGTTCACTCAGTGATTTCAGCTCTCATTCAATCAATTTCCTGATTTCTATCTCTATGCTCAGAATTTGATGCCCTGTTTGGAAATGATTCTTTTGTTTACTGACCTTCATTCCTTTTTCTGTATAACCAGTTTTACTTTTTGCTTTGGCCAAGGAGTACTGCTATCAACCACAGCTTTACGAAA